GCCAGGGAACAGGTATCCTTGTTTGCTTTCCCTCTGCAAGGACTTTCAAACATAAATGACTTTCATTTTATTGTCATTTTATTGAACAGTTTTTAATGTAAACCTTATTTTGAAGTGCAAAATCTCTCTTTCTGTAGTTTGGTAGCAACCCATTCTCAGCTCTAGGTGGGAACTCTGAGTCTGGTGTTCAGCCATCGCGGACAGAGAATCGGGAGCCCCTTCCTAATCCATGGGGGCCGGCAAATTCTTCTAACTCCACTGAGAGCGGAGGAGGCACCACAGGAAGTACTAGCACCCCTGGGGGCACCACCCCCAGTGTGTCCAACCCTCTGGGCATCAATCCTGGCAGTCTGGGTAATGGTAAGACATAGATGGCCGTTATTCTTAATACACCTGCATACTGAGTCATTTATTTCAATGTAGATACCTCTTGTAAATGTTGAGAGTACCAATAAACTCTCTCTGTACGTTTCAGGGATGTTCAACAGCCCGGGCATGCAGAGTCTACTGCAGCAGATCTCAGAAAACCCTCAGCTAATGCAGAACATGCTGTCTGCTCCTTACATGCGCAGTATGATGCAGTCACTGTCTCAGAACCCAGAGTTGGCCTCCCAGGTATAAAATAAAAATATGTGTGAACAAACAGAGTCAGTCAAAACCAGGAAATTTAGATTATTTATGATTTATCTTTGTTGTTCAGATTGTGTCCCTCATATGGAATCGATTGAATACATTTGACACTGCAGTTCAGTAATTTTGCTACTAGAAGGGTAAAGCTAGGTCTGTTGTGCATTAGACTAATAAGGTCAGCTATTTAGTACATTCTCTAAAGAGCGGATTGTCTGTTAATCTCAAACTTACATTTGCAGCTAACCTTAAGAAATAATAAACAACACAGCTTTTATAATCCAGATTGACTCTCGTTCAACCAAATTGACCTTACAGTTGAGCACTAACACTGACGTTAAAGAAAAAGATTCTTTGGGGAGCTTGTGGATGTGAAATGACACAATACCTGACTGTCCTTCTTTTCCTCTTCACCAGGTTTTAATGAATAACCCTTTGTTTGCTGGAAACCCACAGCTGCAGGATCAATTCCGAGCTCAGTTACCCGTCTTTCTGCAGCAGGTACCACACACCGTTCAGTCCCATGACTCATTCCTGGTTTTAAATTATTTTAGTTTTAACATTACACAGTGACAATCCTAGTAAGAAACACAAGAATGGCACTGAGTGGCTCAGAGGGGGTAACATGTTGATGTAGACCTTGACCTCAGTGTTGTGAAACTGATACAGATATTTATCTACACATGCTGAACTTTTGTCTCAAAGACAAACATTGTTATGTTTGTGGTTGTTATATAAATCTTTTGATGAGCCTTGTATTATTTATTTATACAGTATGTAGTGGTTTCTCTGTAATCAGAGTTTTAGACATAGCATGTATGTTACCCAGGCTATTATTATAATTGTTATTTTTAAAGGATATGTATTGCTGCAATGCAAATTACAAAAAAGGATCAGTATCACGTTATAAAATGGATCGTTTTTTCTTCATGCGATAACAATACAAGGTATCATGTTAGTTAAAGATGAGATTCATGCCACGACAAGATGAATGACCTTTTTTTATGTAACTCGATACATCATATTCATTAAAAAGTAAGAAATCTGGTAAAAAAAAATATCTTGTCGGATCAAAACACTTCTCACATCCTGACATTTCACTCAATCTTTTTTTACTGAATTGCAACAGTATAACTGTCATTTTTTTAAGTGAAGGCACCATAAAAACGCTGCTATCTGTTTTTTTTGTTACTTGATTCCTCTATTTTGATACAGATGCAGAACCCAGAAGCCCTGTCAGTGATGACCAATCCCCGAGCCATGCAGGCCTTAATGCAGATCCAACAGGGTCTACAGACGCTGCAGACAGAAGCACCAGGCCTCATGCCCAGGTTTTTTTTCCCACATATACACATGTTACAAATATCATGGATTTTTATTTTTTATTTTTTTACCAACAGTTTTGTCTTTTCTTTTGGCCCAGTTTGATGCCAGGCGGAGTTCCTGGCATGCCCACTGGTGGGATTCCCGGCATGCCCACTGGGGGAATTCCTGGAATGCCCACAGGTGGAGTTCCCGGCATGCCCACTGGTGTAGTTCCGGGCATGCCCACAGGAGGGGGTCTGCCCACCGAGAACCCGGCTTCTTCACCCAGCAGTGCAGGAACGAACACCGCCCAGCAGCAGCTGATGCAACAGATGCTCCAGATGTTTGCTGGAGGAGCTACCGATGGAAGTGCAATGGTACATACTAATACTCACTTAAACTGATCTCGCATCCCTCACAGCTTTGTGTCGAAAAGTGTTTTAAGCTCCATTTATTTCCCCCCTGTAGACCCAGACCCCCGAGGTGCGGTTCCAGTCCCAGCTAGACCAGCTGAGCGCCATGGGCTTCATCAACCGTGAGGCCAACCTGCAGGCCCTCATTGCTACCGGAGGAGACATCAACGCCGCCATTGAGAGACTGCTTGGCTCACAGCCCTCGTAAAGACATACAGTACATCTTGACACACAGACACGTGCATACATAACCTGACTCATCAACACACCCAGCATCTACAGAAAAATGAGAGAAATTAAAGTGTATCGTCCCAAACTTTGCAGAAGAAACTTGGGCAAATTCTCGTTCTACATCTGATTCAGATCATTCCCCAGGCCCCAAACTTCACCTTTTTTTGCATCATCAAACCAGATCTCTGACCCAGAGTGTTGCTGTTGAGCCGAACTGAAGCATTCTCACCTCGAGGGTGTTCTGATGCTGAGAAAAGAAGCGAAAACCTCTCCTGAAAAGGGATTCCCAGCCATTTCTTCAGTCATTGTTTTTTTTTTTTTCTTCCCCACTTTAAACTGGTGTTTAGTGTTGCAGACAGACATTGACATTAACACAAATTGAATCGATTTGATGTGATTGGCTGTCGGCTCTGTTTCATACATGACAGTTTGTTAGCATTTAACAGTAGCAATTCAATACATGGAAGTTTTCTGGTATACACACAGTTAACCTCGACAAGAGCAGGAAGGTATCTGTCTGTACAGATGTTCAATCTCATTCCTCCTTTTTTTTTTTTTTTTTTTAAATAGTTTTCAACATTATACAGACATAGCTGGTTTTGTCCAACAACTTTTACTATTTATTGCAATCTCTTAAGAATCAACACCCGTGACTTTACCCTGAACTTGTAATTTGTCATTCCAAACAAAAGTGCCCACCTGCAGGTGCACAATGTTTATCCTTCTGAGGCACCACTGCTGTGCCTTCTGTCCTTCCCTGCCCTATCAGAGCATTGTCTCCATTCAGTCGGTCAATTAGTAGCCCAAATAAATTCTTCACAGCATCATCCGGAACTGTAACCATTGTCAAATTTCACATCCTAACGGCTCTGACAAAAAGGACGCTGTTAAAATGAACATAAACGAATGAAACAAACAAGCTATCCTTTCATTTTAATCTGATTCTTCTTTTTATTCTATTTTCCTTGTTTTTGAGGTGCAGTTAGTACCTAGAGATAATTATGATTTGTCTCACATCGAAGTTGAAATCAAGTAAAGAGGTAAAGAATGGAACGGCTTTACAAACAATTGTGGTGTGGTGGCGCCACACGTTTCTAAAATCAAGTTATAGGTTGTCTTTTTTTCCCTTTTTTTTTTTAAATGAAAAAAATCTCAGCATTGTAGTTGTGGTAACCTCGGCAACTGCTTCAATAGCTTTGCTTTGTCTGTTGACCTCAGCTGAAAGAAAAAAATCCATCTCCCGATTGAACTTGTTGGAACTAACTTTTAACAGTACTGTACTAAAAAAATAAAAACATGCTCAAAAAGAGTTGATGCCCGGTGTCAATTGATTGTGATATATAATCGTGTAGATGTAACGATGCAGGAAAGAATCTCCTACTATACACTGATTTCAATTCTCAGCTTTTACGTTGATATCACGTTGTTAAATTGTCTTTGTTTCTGTTGAATTAAAATTGACTGTGAGAAGTTGAACTGTGGATTAGAATGAATTAAATACTGATGCCTGTGAATGAGCCACAAAATACATTGACTATATCCTCATCTTTACCTGATACTTTTCATGCCTGAGGTTTCAGACACCAAGACGAATTATGGCAAAACGATTAACAATGTGCAGACAGGAGGAGTGCTTGTTTACATTAACGTTTTCCATATAGGAAGTACTGCGTATTGAAATGTGAGCTTCACTTGTTCTTTTCTTTGGTAATGCATGTAATACATATTGAATGGTACAGTATGTTGGGCCAAGTTTATGTGGTACAACAACAGGTTCCCCTTTAATTTAAAACATTGTTAGCAATACATTCATAGACAGAATGAAATAGATCTTTGAACCTAAATTTGAAGGCAGATTTCTGGATAGGATTAAGATTGTACTTAATTAAAGAAAACTTTGAGCAACCTTAAAAATGTCTCTAAAGTGTTGTGTAGATCGACAATTTCATAGAGGGGAATTACTCTGGAATTAAACTCATTCAACTGCCTCTGAATGTGTTCACTTTTTTCAATACAAAAAAAAAGGGTTATATTATTATCCAGAACATTAACGGCATTCTTGTTCTTGTATGGTTCTGTGAAATGTGTAAACCCAATTTCATATGAAGTAGTTTGCAGTCAGTAGTCAGGAGAACAATGACGTAGTCTCTTATCCTGGAATTACCAGGATAGGTTGCACCGTTTTGAATTTGTTTAAAGGCTTTAAAATTAAAATCAATCTCATGTACAAACAACCCTGAAGGCAACAACATGGCAAAGTTCACCTGTCAGGTTATGGTTTATTGTCATTCAAATAAGCCGAGTTACTACTGACTTATTAAAAGAACATAGTAGAGGGTGGAGCCTGCTCCTGCCAGTGGTTCTACCTGTTCCACCTGCTCTCCTCCCCCTCCAGCCCTCCTTTGGGTGTCAGCTGATGAGGGATTGGCAGGCCACAAGACTGCTGCCCTGCCTGCCTGCCTGACTGTCTATCCTCATACAGGAGTCACCCATGTCCACGAATAAAGAAAGACGCAGGTGGGTGCAGCTCGACCTGCTTCCCTCTAAATTTTCACCTTTTAACTTTCCCTTTCTCTCCGCACTGAAGAGAGAGTAAGCAAGAGAAGCTGTATTTGTTTGTCTTTCTGGGTTTTATCCTGCTCTTCCCTGCTTAATGTGGCTTGAGGATATTTCCAAATCAGGAAACTTCCACCACTGAATGCAGCATGACGTCGGACGAGTCGTATAATTATGTCTACAAAGGTGAGTCGTGTTTGCTTAAGCTGTGATTGTATGGAAACACATACATAGACGTGTGTATGTAATGATATCAGGTGTCACTGAGACAGTGATGGCCTGCCTCAGTTTCTGACTGAAACATATCAGGAAGTGTTCTCTGTCCATTTAGCTGTAAAACATCTAACCTTTGGCCTCATAAACATATGCTCTTACTCTTACTGCTACGCTAAGAGAATATTTGTTGGTATATTTTTTGTCATAAAAAATGAACCACCTATGATTTGCGATTTCATTTCCCCCCCAATGGAAAGTCAGCCGTAGAGTTGTTCCGTGGCTTCTCATGGGTTGAACAAAAACAGAAAGTCTAGTTGTGGTAGAGATAACAGATATTTACATCTTAATTCACAGGAGCTTACAGTTTATACCTCTTAACAGTCATGTTTTTGACTCGATGTCTTATAAAGCAGTCATTGAGAAGCCCTCATGTGGCTCTTCAGTATTGAAAATGAATGAGCACCTTCCCTCTGTGTCTGTGTAGTGGTCTTGATAGGGGAGTCCGGTGTAGGAAAGAGCAACCTTCTGTCTCGCTTTACCAAAAATGAGTTCAGTCGCGACAGCCGCACCACCATCGGTGTCGAGTTCAGCACGCGGACTGTCCAGATGAACAATTTCACCATCAAAGCCCAAATCTGGGACACGGCAGGGCTGGAGCGGTACAGGGCCATCACCTCAGCGTGGGTACACACACACACACACACACACACACATCATACCTACTCCATGACATCTAGTTTGTACGATTCTTCAATTCATTGGGCGGATGCCTTTGTCATCCATCTGTTGAAATCTAAATCCTGTTTGATTGTCTCTGCTGGACTCAGTTATTACAGGGGAGCAGTCGGAGCCTTGTTAGTCTATGACATCACAAAGCACCTGTCCTACGAGAGCACGGAGCGATGGTTAAAAGAGCTGCTGGAACATGGAGACCCTCACATTGTTGTCATGCTGGTGGGAAATAAGAAAGACCTGGAGAGCCTCAGGACTGTGCCCACAGAGGAGGCGAAGGACTTTGCAGGTTAGTTTATTCACACAAGAGGGAGTGCAGAATATAAAAACAGCACGCGTTCCAAAGGGCCCAAGATAATCACTACGGGGCTAATATGCAGTATATAAACACAACCTCTAGTGTGATCTTTGTCTTTTGTGTAAATCCAGAGAAGAGAGGTCTTATGTTTATGGAGACGTCAGCGTTGGATTCCACCAACGTCGAAGAGGCGTTCAATGAAATCCTCACAGGTACAGAAGCTCATTCAATGAACCCAAACACCAGCCCGCAGTTCAACTCAGCTTTTTGATTTGCTTACTGATTTGTCTTTTTTTTTTTTTTTTATGTCAAGTGATCCATAAGAAAGTGAACAGCAGAGAGGTGACCCGAGGCTCCATCTGTGCTGTAACTATAACCAACCCCATCGGACCCATCGGGGAGGCACAGGAGAGCAGGGGCTGCTGTAAGAGCTCCTAGCACACATCTGCTCTATGCACCCAACCTGACTGTCATGACATCATTTACACTCCGTATGAAGAGTGAGTTAACCAAACCTCTCAAAATGTAGATGTAAAGTATATAAATGAAAAACAATAAATGAATATTGAGAAATTCTATATTTGACAGAATTCTGTTGGTGGCTAATAAACACTTTTTTACTTAGTAGAGCTGTGCATTGGTCCTTTTTCTTTATCTAATCTTCATATTTTTTAAAAAGGAATGTAAAGTTGTATTGTTTTTATAAAGGAAAACTCTGGGATGAACTTGAAATAAAGTTATGTTATTATGTCTGTATGTTATTATTTTATGAAGACATGAATTTATTGTATAGAGATAGATGGATGGACAACATACTGACAGATGGACGGATGGATGGATGGATGATGATAGATGGATAGAAGGATGGATGGATGGGTGGATGGATGGAAACATATCTATTTTTTAGTCTTGGTGAGATACTGCCTGAAGATGACATACAGTATTTAGCAGCTATAGCTAATGGGGATTGATGATTGTAAACATAACAACATTGTGAACATTTTGGTCAGTAATTTTTGGGGAAATTTTCCTCTGGAATTTCCTCAAATTCAAAAAAGTCCCAATTGTCTGTAATCTTTGGTATTCTAATAAAAAATTCTGGGAAATATTTGTCTGGAGTTTTCTCAGATGCTTTCTTGTGAACGTTTTGTTGGAAATGTTGAGTCTCTGGTATTATCTGCATCATTTTTTAGGAACTTTCTTCTGAATTTTCATTCAAATATTTTTTTGTCAGAAATGTAGGGGGTTACTGTGTACGCCTTGAGGTGTGCTTCTTTTGGTTAGTTATGCTTGTGTGAGCCTACAGTCTTCACAGGGCATTGAGGTTCATGAAACCAGCCTAGCCTTTACTGTAAAACAAAACTTGAGTAAGTTTAACTCGCAGTAGCTGAAGCAGAAGTTTTAGGATTATGTCAAAAGGCTCATAGTTATAAAAAAAATAGTAGTAGTAGTGTCACATGCAGATAAAATGTACTCACTGTGTGGAGCAGACTAAAAGATCCTTAATAGACTGAGAGCTTGTCAAATTTGTCAGGTCTATTGAAGGCAGAGCAGCCTTTGCAGCTAACCAGATTCAAAACTGCTAATGCCATGTTCTGTGTTCTATGTTCTGTCAAATGGGCTCCTCCACAATTATAACCAGGGATATTGTTTGACTTATGGAGAAATGTGTAGGCCACAAATTGACTTTCCATCAGACCTCCAAAAATGATGTTGAACAAATCACTGACTCACATCTTACTCACAAGTATCCTGTTGTCAAGTTTTTAGCAGACTTCACTCAGAGTCAGCTGTTTACCACTGAACAAACCTTTGTCAAAGGTGTCCTGTCTCTTCTCAGCCTCTAGATGGCACTGGTGATGTAATTGTATTTCAAGTATTGGTTCTGTTTATTTCAATGCATTTTTTCCTTTTCAGTATTAAGCTAAGTCACAGTTGTAGCACCCTCTTGTTCTGAAGTTCATCTCACTTAAGCTCAATTAGTTCGTCTCAATTAAGCTCATGTCTTCAGAGTCTGTTGCTATGGCAGCCACCTGTGCTGCATTCTTCGCAACTTAATATGACCATTGAATGGGGAATACATTTTTAAATTTCTCACAAATACACAGATTTCTGATGGTTTTATGGTGTGTGTGTGTGTGTGTGTGTGTGTGTGTGTGTGTGTGTGTGTGTGTGTGTGTGTGTGGTTTCTTAAAGCAAGATTTTTCTGCCTGAGATAATTTTACCACAGTGAAATGTATATTAAGTTGATCTAATATTAATTTGAAGGCTGTGCAGCGGGCAGTAAATGTTTATTTATTGCCTATTAAAAGTGTCTGGTGTAATAATCCACACAGGCTGAACAGGCTGTACAGGTTACAAGCATGGTCATGATTTATGTTAATCTCTTCCTGTTTTCAGAGTAAAAATAAGAATTATGTTCATACAAAATCTTAAATTCCATATTTACAAGCACTTTTTTTTGCTGTTTGGGTTTTTTTTTCTACCACTAAATTATTGAAGTGTCTCCAATTTCTGACCACACCTTCAAGGTGAAGCTCTCACAGGTGTTGGAAAGAGAGATAGCATAGACATGTGGTTGACATTACCTTCCCCCGGCTACTTGACATGTGTAGCCTGTAAAACGTAAGGTCTGAAAGCAGAACTTGTAAATGCTAAAATGCTGAGTGTTTCGGCTCTGCTGAACCCAACATGGGGCTGTTACGAGACTCCTTCCTCCTGTGCTTTGTGGGGAATCCTTTCCTCAAAATTTACAGTGACAGTATCATTTGGTGACCTCATGGAGCAGGGATCTCATGGATTTGAAACACAAATTTATAGAATCCATAATCCCTCCCTACAGCCTGGCTGTTTTTCCTCTACTCTCAAGATGTTTTTAGAAATAAACTCCTGAGAATGTCAGGACAGACTGCCCCTGAAATCCACTCGAGTCGCCTGTCGTGTATCTCATAGCAAGAGACTTTTTCTATAGACAGGATTTTTTTTGTGGGGGTGTCTAAGGAGGCAGGACATGATGTAAAAAGGGTGCTGTGGAAATGGCAGACCAAGCAAGAAACAAACACTATGATGACAGTTTTCACCTTTGTATAAATAATGTTACGTGTGATTGGACATATTTAAAGTCAAAACGAACAAGTGGAAAATCTGTCACGCAGAAAATAGTGAGAAGTTTCATTACGTGTGTGAAGATTACAAGGGTGGAATAAAAGTGATTCATATTAAAGGCTTTATGTGGGATTTTTTGATCCAGCAGATGTCGCCCTTGAGCACCAGCATGAAACCAAAACAACTCACTCTGCATTGTTGTGTTAGCATGCTAATGCTAGCGATCTTTATTATGCTCGTATCTTCACACTGCATGTAAATTTACCCGAAATGAGCGTGATCTAGAAACACAGTTAAGCTGTGAGTACAGTATGTTATTCTTCTTTCCTCTTGTCCCTCAATTAAACAACTTTTATTTGCAAGGGGAGGAGTCAGCCAGCCGTCCTGGCGATGTAAACAAACTGAAGATAGGACTCTGAAAACTCTGAAAACATCACAGACAGTGGGACTCGGGTGTTACACCCATTGTAGACAGTCATGACTCACAGAGTTATTTTCAGAGGATATACTTGATTTCTATTACATTTAAGTGTGAAAAATCACATATGAAGCCTTTAAAGTAAAGGTGGGTTTTTATTTGACCAAAATATAGAAAACCGAGTTTACAAACCAAATTATAAGAACTAGCGCTATAAAAGAGGTCAACTTAATATAACTTTGAATCAACAAGTTGAAAACTAAGGAAAATTGTATTTCTTTGGAATAATCACACATTTATCTCAAATTATCGTTTTAAGTTCAGTTAACTTAAAATTGAAGGCAGCCCGGACACTAACTTTTTTAAGTTATAATAACTAGTTTTTTTACCGTGTGAGATGAATTTCTTTCTGTGTTCAAACATAGGCTTACCTAAACTTATAGCAGAAAATGTATTGGGTAGGTGACAGTAACAAATCAGAGTAGTTGGGCTGAAACATTTGGTCTTCTAGTTCACACACAGCTCATAAAGACAAATATCAGAACATTTCAGGTCCTGATTTCAGAGCGTTTTGTCTTTACTAACATGCTTTTCCTGCTGTTTATTCTGGCTTTCTGTTTTTTTTTTTTTTTATTTCATTTGTTTATTTTACGTTTGATTAATAGAGTAACATGAGACACAACACATTTTCATTTAAACAAAATTCCATTGTACTCTGTGTACCTTGGTGTGTATCCAAGATGCACACCAAGGGGTATTTTTGCATATTACAGCTGTCCAATAATACAGTATGGAACTCTGTAACAAAACTTTCAGGAACCAAAAATAACTTTCCCAACCACATCTGGACACAGCGTATTTATTGGACAGAAATTATACATGAGATTCATAATAGCATTATGTTAAAGTTCAGGTTGTTTTTATTCACAGCAGGATTTATAGCTCTAGTTGAGTTTGGTGATGTTCCATTTGGGTTTATGTGTCCTCATGCTTTTATTTGTGTATGCAAACACAATATTCCAGAGTCCATATTTCAGTATATTAGCAGTGAATACAAAATGTAACATTTCCACACCAGCTGACATTTACACATAAAAGCAACTCAACTAATGCATGCTGATAATCATGGGGATGTTGTCATGCCGACCAATCAAAGAAAGAGGTAGCCTGGTAGGTGCTCTGACTGAGTTTGATTATCGTCTGCAGGTGGCGGCAGAGAAAATGTGTGGTTATTGTTCCAGCATGACAACTTAAGCTGTTTGGTTTTCAGCTCAGTTTATTATGGGATAAAAGCATGCCAAAAAAACAGCTGTTTTGAATAACTTGTGTTTGGCTGTTCCACTTCCAAACGCATAAAATAATCAATTAGCACCTTTAAAAGCCTCTAATGTCATAACAAAGCCTGTCTCTCTCTGCTGGCCATTCAAGAGCCCCAGCTGGGGTCACACGATTCCTTTCCTGCGTGTAATTAAACAGGCTGCCAGCGTCACACTGAGCCAAGAGCCTCACTTAAAATAATATCACATACCTCAGTTGCCATGACAGCCTCAATGTTTGCCTGTGAGGCTGGTATGCTGAACGGCTGCAGGTGTAAAGTGATGCAGCGAGCTAGTATTCCAGTGAAGCTTTCAGCTGCAACATGAGACCAGAAACAAGTGTTAAGCAGGACTCTCATTAACATACAATCATCTGTGTGACAGGTGAGCTTCCTTACAAGGGGGGGGCATTTGTGCTCAAGAGGTGACATATGCAGGGGAGGAGGTAAGTCATGTTTGAGTCAGTGCAGTTAGCTTAGTAAAGTCTGTAATTTGTGACAGCTGTTCAAAAAAAAATGAAGCAATCGGGACAAAATGTCTCACCACCTCCTTGATTGGATTCAACTCCTACACTTGAGAAGAGAAATGAGCCACCAGGTTCTAAAATATGAAACCCTGTAGCTTCCAAATGTGTGTCTTTAAGTTAATACCACCCAGCCCTCTCGCCGCTCTGCTGTTTCTCATGGGAACACAAAACGTCTGGCAATACAATAAAAGAGATGTTCAGTCTGGTATATTATGACTGCACATTTCCATGAGTGTCTTTTTCTCCTCTTCAGGCAGCTGTTGCTTCACATGGCTCAGCCAGGAGGAATTTGCTGAATAAAGATACCACGGTTATTCTAATACATGCACTCAAGTTCTGCATTATTGAATTCCACTGTATAGATTTAATGTGCTTTTTGTCCTTATAGAGAGCAGGGGCTGGGATTGGACAGGCCCTGAAATCTGATTGGCCACCCCAGGTTCTACCCTAAATTCATTCACTATGATGAGCTTTTTGCAGAGGCAGGGCTTGTGTTGAAATGACACATTGTTGCTACAGTCTGCCACTTTTTGTAACATTTGAATGTAGCACATTTCCTTTGTTGATACTTTTTATGGCGATTTTTTTTTAGATAATTCTTAGGATCTTTTTTTTGAGTTTTCTGATAATATCTTTTGGTATTTCTAAATCTATGAAATAGAATCCTAAACAGGAATGTAACATCTTTATGAAACTATGAAATGTGGTTATGTTGGTTAAAATAATCAGTGCAAGAAACGGCA